TGCGTGCTACTGGATACGATGACCGATGGTCGATCGAACGGATATCAACTTTCAAAACTAACGACTTATGATGGCGATCAACTTTCAAAATGGCAGATGGTGGTTCAAACAGCTCAATAGGATCTGAATCATTGACGAGCAGCAGGTCGAGAAGTTTACCATTCGCGTTGACCAGATTTGCTCAAGTCCTGCAGCCAGTAAGGGCTCGACTTCAGCATGTTCCTGTTCAGATGAAGTATTGAGAGGTCCTTGGACATCCTAATACAAGTCGCAAGCTAGGTTCCGCAGGTTGTAATCACCCATAGCTATAGTCGTATCATGAGGGCTAACCATTTCAAGAAGCTGTTGTACGGAGTCGGCGTGCTTGGTATAAGTGTCGAGTTGGCTACTGGGACGAATGTAAATGCAACACAGGAAAAGCGATTGATGTGATAATATAACTTGTATAGCAATTTGTTCGAGATTCGCATGGCTTTAAAATTCAGCACTGAATTCACGGCAATTAAGACACCACCACCACTTCGTAGTACACTGTTGCGGGAATTCCGGTCACAGCGGTAGATAGTGTAGTTTCTTGACAGTTGAGCATTCGCTATGTCAGTAAGAAGCCACGTTTCTGTGAAAAACACAACGTTAAAATCGCAAGAAAGCAGCGAATAGAGCAGAGAATTCTTCTTGAGAATTGCATTAGAATTCGGTTCAGCCACAATTCTTCTTAGAATTCCCATGTCATTTTCCAGAGAATTCATTTAGAACTGTATACAGACTTCGATTCCTTGGAACACTTTTCGAACTGGATTACATCGTTTGAGCTGTTCAAAATGATTTTTTCTACTACTCAAACTTTGCCGTGGAACAATATTGTGATATATTTTGATTCTCCTGATTATAATTAAACTGCTTTGAATTGTCAGAACTTCCCGAAGCTACGTAACTTCCCTTAAGATCTTTAAACTCAACTGAAGTTTTTGCAGCGGAAGCTGCTGGAGTATGAGCAATTTTCTTGTATTTAATAGAAATGCTCTGAAGCTCTTGGATCTTCACACTCTTTCCTGAAATCTATGGAACTGCCCTGAAGTAACCGGAATCTACCCTAAAGATCTTAAAACATCCATGTTGTTCTGAACGTTCTGGACGGTCTTGATGTTTACGGGATTTCATTTAAATTCTTGGAATTTCAATGAAATTCTCTGATCTTCCTGAAGGTTGTCGCAATTTTTCTGATGTTAATGGAATTAACATAAAGTTCTCAAAATTTTCCAAAACATTTCATTTAAGTTCCCGCAGTTTTTCTGACGTTCATGTCTTAAGTTCTATAAAATAATCTGTACTTTGTTCTTGGAACATCTGTAAAGTTCTTGCAATTATTATGAAGTTAATCGAACTGGTGCTGAAGTTCTCAGAACTTTACCGAAGTGTTTGTAACTTCCCTCAAGTTTTCACAATTTTATGGATGTTCGTGAAATTGTCATGAAATTCACAAAACCTTCCCCCAAGCACTCTAAATTGTCCTAAAGATCTTTGAACTTAGGGACGATTCCAATATGACGACCACTCGGTAGTAGGTATGGGAAAAAACGTAGGGAGGGGGAAGGGATACAAAATAGAAGTGGATGTCATATTTGAATCGCCCCTATTCTGAAGTTTTTTTTTAAGGTCTTGTAAAGTTCCTGGAATTTTCTTGAAGTTGATGGAACAGTCGTGATGTTCTCTAATCTTCATCTAAGTTCATGAAAATTTCCTAAATCATAGATCTGAATTTCTCGGAACCATCCCTTAAAGATCTTTAATCTTTCACAGTAGTTCTTGGAACTATCTTGAAGGTTTTGAAACTTCTCTGAACGTTTTAGTTATTCACTAAAGTACTTGGAACATCACTGAAGAATTCTAGATTAATCTAAACAGCTCGGAACTTTCTTGATTTTGTTTGGAGTTCGCTGAATGATTAAAACTTCTATGAATTTCCTGATATTTTCTGTCAAGGCTAAGGAACAAGTGCTCCGAAGGCACCAAAAATATTTAACGTAAACTCGTAGTTTTGTAAGCATTTTCGCACAACTTATAAATGACAAATTTCTTGAAATGCGCAATAATTCTGTGAAATTTGTGTCTAGCGTTTGTTTTATCACCAAGGGCGTAGCAATATTTCTCCACTTCAAGAGCACCCAGTGGAAATTGGAATGCTAAAATACCTTACCTTTGGCGGATCATGTCAATATGTTGATGGCTGGTTGGTCATTGAAACTTTAAGAACTTGTTTAAAGTGCTCAAACAAAAGTTTAAGATGGTCGGTAAGCAACTTCCCAGTCGTGTTTATCCTTGCTCCACTCAAGCGTTATGAGATATCGTAGAGGAGACGGATATCCCAAGATGATTCAGTTTTCTCCCATTCCTCGACCATTGTGCTTACTCATGGTGACTCTATGAGTAACCAGCTCCGAAAACCGATTATTTTGTTTATTTTATCAAAACTAAATGGTTGCAGAAATACAGATCTAGTGTCCCCCGGTCCGTAATGATTATATAGAACATGTGACAATTATGCGTATAACGGCAGTATATGAAAGTCCAGAACCTTGGGGAAATTTTAGGATATTTATGGGTTAGTTCCGACAACTTCAGGACAGTTCCGAAATACTCCAGATAACTTTAGGGTAGTTCCATGAACATCTGAAAAATTGTGGAAACTTTAGGGAAGACTGAAAACTTCTGGAAATGTTTGATAACTTCAGAGTCGTTTGATTAACTTATAAAAATTTCAGGAAATTTACACGATTTATTTCCATATAAGTTTAATACATATATTTTACCATACGCAAATAAATCCATGAAGAATTATTTAAAATATCATTTAGGCCCAGGGGCCATAAATTGGAGCACACTTTCCCTAGTTGCATTAACATCAGAAAAATTATCTTCAAGAAGTTCTGAGAACTTCATGAAAATCCAAGAATTTCAAGGAAGTTACGAAAACTTCAGGGTTGTTCTGAACTTCAGGGAAGTCTGAAGATCCTTTATGTTAGGTTCCATGGATTTCAGGAAAATTTGGAGAACATTAGTAAAGATTAAAGAGCTTCATAACAGTTGCATGCAATTCAGGAAAACTGCAGAAAATTTACAGAGATTGTGAAAACCTTCGTTGAGTTTAACGATCTTAATGGAAGTTACACGAACGTTGGGGCTGTTCTGAGAACTTCATAGTAGTTCCGGGGGAATCAGGAATAGTTAGGAAACTTTAGGGAAGTTCTGAGTGCTTCAGATACATTTCGAGAATCTTAAGACATTTCCACTAAGCCCTTTAAAATAGAAGCTCCAAATATTAAATACAGTCCAGAAAGCATCAGGAAACTTTAGAGAACAAGGTATTGAAAAATCGGAAACGTCACAAGATAAAGATGTTGAGCATTTCAGGGAAGCTTCATGAACAGACTGCGAAATCATAATAGAGGCTCTGATCCCTTCTTAAAAATTAGCACACTTCAGAGAAGCTTCAAGAACTTCTTAGTTTGTTTATTTCGTCAAGCAAAAGTAGACTACATTCAATGGTTACAATGTTTTACTTACATGCTATGCATTATTTCCAATTAGTTTTAATCGGATTTTAATTTATTCTTTTTACATAGTGATGCTAATGACTTCGCAGTGTAGATTAAACTGTCGCATTATTCGATTGATGGGGCAATTTTTTGCGTAATTTGTTCTGTGTGATTTTTTAAGGATAATTTCCTTGTTTTGTAAGATGCCGACAGGGTATGTAAAAGTTTAATTTTGAGAGTAATTCTGATGATTCTATGCGATGTGAAATAGTGTCATTGATGAAGAAAATCAAATGAGCTTTTGTAAAACTGCAGGAAATTTGAAAAGGTCTAATAGTCTCAGGGATATCCAGAGACATTAAGGAAAGTCAAGAACCTCAGAGAAGCTACGTCTTAAGATTTTCAGAATTGCTCAAGGGCAGTCCCAATAGTTTCATCAGGAAATGTCCATACTTTTGGGGAAGTTTATAGACGTGTGAAGTTTCGATAAATGCAAGACAAGGCAACTTTTCATAATTCCAGATATTTTCAGGGAAGTTTTAAGATTTTTAGAACAGTTCCATTTGTTTCAGGACAGTAGAAAAAACTTCAAGTGAATTGCGAGAGCTTCAGGGTAGTTTTAAGAACATTAGGGAAAATCAGTGAACCTCAAGGTGTTCAATTAACTTCATGGAAATTACTTTAAAACACGGAGTATTTACGAAAACTTTATTATTTTTTCCGTGATTTGTTTTCCGTCGATCTTGTTCTCCGTTCTGAGTACCGATACTACTGACGCCAGGGAGGCAGCTCCCACTCCTGGACACTACCTATCGACCCATCAACTCATGAACCGAGAATCAACGGCTTCACTTCCCTTCCGAAGGAAACCGTGATCAGATATTTTATGCCTCAGAAAATCCCGATGGCGCCGGCTGGGATTGAAACAAGGCCTTTTGGAGTGAGAAGCAGTCACGCTTACCGCTACACCACCGCTTGAGAGAAATCTTCAGGGAATCCCTAAGAACTTCAGAGAAGTTTTGACATTTATGGGTAATTTCATTATTTTCAGGCCTTAAGTAAAGTAAAGCACTTAAAGGAAGATCTCAGAACTTCAGAGCAGCTCCATTAATGAATTGCAAGACTGGCTAATACAGAAGACAACAAATCAAGAAGACTGGCAACTCTTCCATTTTCTCATACGAACGCTATGCGACAGGTACAATCGCGTCATCTGCCGCTCAAAGGTAAATGTTTCGAACGAATTTGATAGCAAAGATTACATCCTCATAAGAAGGGTTTGTGTATTTGCTCATTTGTCTATGCGTTGCTTCCACCTTCACTCAAGCGCAGCGCCATTGTATCTGTCGCTTGGATTCTGGCAAAGTTGCCAGTCTTCTTGATTTGTTGTCTTCGCTGTTCCTTTCTGTACCAAACTCTATGCGTAATTATAAACTAATCTGATTGCAACTATTTCTACCCTAGAATTACGGCATGTACAAGTACCGCTGCATGACATTCGATGAACTGAAAACGTCCAATTGCAGTGAGAGCAAAATCGAAACAAACACCAACTTCAACCGGCTGTTGGTTGTCCAAAATCGACCCCTCCGGGACTATGATCGAGAAAAGCTCGAGGTGACCCAAATCAGTCCACAGCGCATCAGGATTGAACTCGAAAAGCGTAATCTTTTGATTGAGGATTTTATCCTCACGTTTTTAAAATTTTCCTCAACATTTCAGTGGAACCTCAAACGTTCAAGTTCACCTACAAACCGGCCAAGAACTATCCCCTGGATCTGTACTACCTGATGGACCTGACCTGGTCCATGAAGGACGATCGTGACACCTTGATCAACATGGGTGATCAGCTGGCGAAAGCCTTGGCTAACTTGACGGAAAATTATCGCTTGGGATTTGGAAGTTTCATCGACAAACCCATCATGCCGTTCATCCAGACCGAAGAGGATCGAGTGCAGAACCCCTGCAGTACGGAGCGAGAGGTTTGTGAACCAACGTACGGTTTTCGGCATCGTCTTGAGATCACGCAGAACATCGATGGGTTCATTGAAAAGTTGAAAACCAGCAGCGTTTCGGCAAATTTGGACAATCTGGAGGGAGGTTTGGATGCCCTGATGCAGGTGCTGGTTTGTGACGATCGAATCGGATGGGGAGTGAACACCAGGAAGATTGTCGTTTTGGCTACGAATGGGTTTATGCACATGGCTGGGGATGGACTGTTAGCTGGGATAACAGAGAGAAACGATAAGCAGTGTCATCTGTCCGAGGATGGGGAGTACACGGGGTCGTTGGAGTATGATTATCCTTCACTGGAGGAAATATACAGAGTACTGGGGAAATCGAAAACGGCGGTGATCTTTGCTGTGACCGATGAACTGACCGACTACTATAGGTCGATGAGGGAACTGATGTCGGAGTTCACCAGCGTTGGGCTGTTGCAGGATGATTCGTCGAATATCTTGCAGCTGGTCAATACGGGTTACAGGGACTTTGTGAGGAGGGTTGAATTCACGGATAATGCTCCTAGCTATATTCAGATTTCCTATACAACCGATTGCGGTGGGATCTACAAGACACCGCAGCCGACGAGCAAGTGCGACAATATTGAAATAGGGAAGAAGTACGACTTCTTCGTGGAGGTGCGGCTATTGAACTATCCGGTTGGGTTGGTGTCGAATCTGACGGTTAAGATTGAGGAAACGTTGATCAGCAATGAGGGCGTTGAATTGGAGATCAACATAAGGCAGGCTTGCCAGTGCGAGCTGGAGAACACACCGATTCCGAATAGTGAAGTTTGCTTCGGAAATGGAGAATACTCGTGTGGCACGTGCCAGTGTCGGCCGGGATGGTACATTAATTTAGTGGTGGTGTCAAAATGAAACAGAAATTGAACCTGAATCTTAATACTTTACAGGATTGGTAAAGCATGCGAGTGTAACCTTCAGAATTTCGAGAGCAGCACCGATCTGTTGAATCAATGTCGAGCGGAAAATGAACTCGATGAAGTGGGAGCCATATGCTCTGACAGAGGAGAATGCATGTGTGGACAGTGTCTTTGCAATCCTGGATACGATGGGCCGCACTGCGAGTGCACGGAATGTATTCCGTATGATTTATTATGGCTAAATTAGCAAATGACAGATGAAAATTATTACATTTCTAAATTCCAGATTGTTTGGCATGCTCTGCACCAATCACGGAGAATGCGACTGCGGTGCCTGCAAATGTCACCCGGGATGGTCCGGGGACGATTGTGACTGTTCGACGGATCAAACCACTTGCCAAGCTCCGCTCAACAATGAACTCTGCTCGGGCCGAGGTGAATGCACTTGTGGAAAATGCAGCTGCAGCGAGTCGTACTTTGGCCCCTACTGTGAAGTAACGGCCGGATCCGAGTCGGAACTTTGCTCGTTCTACGAAGAGTGCGCCCGCTGTGCCATTCACAAAAAGCTAGGCAAAGAATGCGATTCCATCGAGGATCAATGCAAATCAAAGCTGGGACTCTACACAGTAAAATTTTATGAAACATTGGATGGCAAGTCTCCATAAATGACCGCACATAATGGCCACCATTTGCGAATAATCACTTTGTTTTCAGATTCCCTCAACTGTACGACCCGTATAACGAACGACGGTATGACCTGCGATTTCAAGTACACCTACGAGCTGGAAGATCGCCAAACCTTGCTGAAAATCATAACTCAGGACTGTACTCGGGTCAACATGACGGCTGCATTTATGTACATAGCAGGACTGACCCTGTTGCTGGGACTGGTGATTTTGGCCGTTTTCAAAGTGAAAATCTTTCTCGAAGATCAACGGATGTACCAGCAGTTTGAAAAGGAGCAACAGAACGAAACCGCCTACGAAATGACGAGTCCCCTGTACAAGTCGCCCATAACCAAGTTTGAAGTTCCTGAAGAGATGGCCGACTGTGAGTTGAAGTGAATAAACATCGGGATGCGCCTTTCGGTAGGCCACCAGAAGCCAAGTTGATGGTTGTTTACAGTGAGACCGCGGTCAGTAAAGTTAATTTAAGTTTGTTCATTCATTTCATGTTTTAATTTCAGGATCAGTAGTGTGAATTATAAAAGTATAACAAAGTAATTCATTTATTAAACTCCGAAATGTCCTGGCGAATTTGAAATCAATCATTGTCCACTAAATATATACTTCACTTCTGTTTGTTTGTTTTTTTTTTCGATAAGAACAACCTTGATAGGGAAACCGGCAAGCGCATACAAATAAAAAAAATCTCAAAATACTATCTCTACTATGATGATTCATGCTTCGGTTGGTGTATATCGATGTAGCCACCATGTCGAGGTGATGTTAGTTTTACTCTCGTTCTCTCAGAGAACGAGTAATGTTTTGTGTTCTATATCACTGTATACCATGATGCTATTCAAAAATATTTGGTACAAGAGAGAGGGAGAGAGAGTTGTGTGAGCATTCCTTTCGGTGTGTCCATAATGATTTTCTTTTATTTTTATTAATAAATTAACGAATGATAGCAATGTAACTTAAGGGGAAGCTGGCAGCCTAATAAAAAAAACTAGCACGATTTAATTATTCTTAAAATATCAAAAATCAAAAAAAAATGGGTTTTCTCTTAGATTCATGAGAAAATTAACGTGCAAAAATATGTTTTTTTATCTCATCATGAAAAAAAAATCAACCATAAACAAAATCTAAAGGTCAGTTTTACAGATTTTTGAAGTTTTTTGAGTCCAACTTTGTGACATGATGACATAGAACAACTGTTTTTAAATTAGATTTTTTTTTTTCAGAAAGAAATATATCTTTTTTGGGAGGTGAGCTTTCCCTTAAGATGATTTTTTTCCTCTGTACGGAACATAAAACCACTGCGGCCAGTAATTTGATCTATTGTAGTATATACCGTGTCCTTAGTGCATCACTATTGAGAAATGCTGAAGTATTCGAATTTGATACAGTTGTCCTTCTAGCCTTCATCACAAGGAATCGATTCTAATTGAAAGGTCCCGCTATTTAAACCCTTCAAAGAGTGAGAGCACCCTTCAAAGGCACGCCCCTTTGTGAGTCAAAATTGGATTGTTTAGCAACACAATTATTCAATAACACCGATAATAACCATGCATCATATCCCTAGTCTTAACCACTTCAAACTGCAGAACAACGAATAGAAGATTAGGAATGACATAGATTAAGACTAACTAACTAATGTTTTCCTTGTTTCAAGATCATCCTCGATGGCCAAAGCCGAGTCTTGTCACTTACATAAGGCAAACAAATAAAAAAGGACTAAAGGGTGATACGGTCAAAATTTGGTCAAGGGAAAACGCGTGTAAATCGGTGAAATCGTTTATTTAAAAAATCAAATTAAATTTCTTTTTCAAGTTCAATTAGTATAAAATTCAGGAAAAATATTCAGTCAGGCTTCCGCTTTTCCAAATCCGAATTGCCGGGCCTTACGCTTGACCCCTGCCATCAGATTTTGTACAGCCACCTTGTCCACCTTCTTCGCCGCAGAAAGCCAGTTTGCCTTGAACTGCTGCTCGCCCTTAGCAGTTTTTTTGGTCTTCTTTAGGTTCCGCTTGACAATAGCCCAGTATTTCTCAATTGGGCGGAGCTCTGGCGTGTTGGGAGGGTTCTTGTCCTTGGGAACCACCTGCACGTTGTTGGCGGCGTACCACTCCATGGCCTTTTTACCGTAATGGCAAGATGCCAAATCCGGCCAAAACAGTACGGAACAACCGTGTTTCTTCAGGAAAGGCAGCAGACGTTTATTCAAACACTCTTTCACGTAAATTTCTTGGTTGACAGTCCCGGAAGCTATGAAAATGCTGCTTTTCAAGCCACAGGTACAGATGGCTTGCCAAACCAGATATTTCTTTGCGAACTTTGACAGTTTCATGTGCTTGAAAACATCTGCTACCTTTCCCCTTCCTTTTGCCGTATAAAACTCCTGTCCCGGAAGCTGCTTGTAGTCGGCTTTGACGTAGGTTTCGTCGTCCATTACCACGCAGTCAAACTTCGTCAGCATCGTCGTGTACAGCCTCCGGGATCGCGCTTTGGCCGTCGTATTTTGTTTATCATCGCGATTTGGAGTCACTACCTTCTTGTAAGTCGATAGTCCGGCTCGTTTTTTGGCTCGATGCACGGTTGTAGACGATACACCCAGCTTATTTGCGGCATCTCGGAGAGAGAGGTTAGGGTTTCGCTTGAAACTACCGGCAACTCTCTTTGTCGTCTCAGTGGCTTCCGGTTTTCGATTTCCCCCCGATCCAGACTTCCTGGCTGTCGACAAACGTTCCCCAAACACTTTAATTACATTTGTAACGGTTGATTTGGCAATTTTTAGCGATTTTGCCAACTTTGCGTGCGAGTAGCTCGGATTTTCGCGATGCGCGAGCAACATTTTGATACGCTGCTCTTCTTGCTTGGACGGCATTTTGACAACTGAAGAGTGAATTCCAAAATCAAAATAGGAGCAACATTCTACACACACACACACCTTCAAAATGAGGGGTGTTCAGGTTTTTTAAATGCAAAATTGAAAGGAATACGTCAAGTTGATATTGACCAAATTTTGACCGTATCACCCTTTAAGACGTGTTCCTTTGATTACTGAAAAATCCTGTTCCCGTAGTTTGATGTTTTCAGGACTAGGGATCGGTGGTAGATCTTACATTCAAAAAATACCACGTAAAGGTGATCTACCCACGTAACGGGACCCCTTAAGGTGATACTCATGGATGCAACCAGGTCACGTGATCGCACTGTATCGCTTGAGGAGCCATGTCGGAGTAAGGCGAGAACCATCGGTTGGAATGATTTCGCATCAACCCATATCACTACTGATGAAGAAGAGAACCGAGAACCAACGACACGATCAACACGGAAAATTCAGCCTGCTTCTAACACAGCTAGCAAACGGTCAACGGAGGGTGAAACTCCGCACGTATCTCGTTGAATAAATGTTCGATGTGAAATTGTTTAAACTAAGTATGTCTTGTAACTTCGTTTAAATAAAGTGTAGTCAATTGTAACTCATATGTAAATGTGAATTGTGTCCCCAAGAAGTTCCAAGAGCGATGTAATCCAGAATTCCAAGTGATTGCTCAGCCAGTGCCAGCGAAGTACACCCAACAGCAAACGGCTGGTTCGGCGATGCGACAAGGTCACCCAAGGACGACGAACTACATGATCGAAGGTATCCCAACCCAAGAAGGTTTTATGACAGGTGGGCAGGAGCTCACGGTCTCCCAGTGTTGGTGAGTTCTTTGCCGTTAATGTTCACGAAAAGTTCACTATTTTGCCATACACAAATTAAAAAAAAAATATGGGCGTATTTGGACAGTTTTTTACCTGTTTCATACGACCGGAAGGTGTATGCTGGTCACAAATGCCGTGCCAAACTGATTTCCTACCCAAATAAATCAATCTTTGATGTGAATTTGCTAATAAATACGAGGAGCATTTCTTATAGCAAAACTTGCCATAACAAAATGGGCATAGTTCATTTTAGTAAACAAACTAACACTACTTCCTTGTGTGTCACCTTTGTATTAAGCGCCTAGATCCCAATCATTTCATCTACAATCTACACGCTGAAAATGAAGACAACCTTAACAGATAGACCAACTACCTGCATGAATTAGAATTTTGACTTGCATGAATTAGAATTTTGACATAACATAACATAACTAAAGATCCTGAATTTATAAATTTTAGGCTCTTTAGACATAACAGCATTCCCTTGATCAAGGCAAACTCTGAGTATCGAAGTCAACATTTGCTTTTCTTTATTCGTGGCTGCATGTTCATTAATATTTGTCTTCATCTTGGCAGGGATGATTTTGAGTATCAAATGCAAAATGATTATTTTCATTTTACACAAATATAGCGCTGAATAGAAACACTGGAATAAGAGACCAGCGGAGACACTGTTATTTATTTTTTTTTTCTTTGGTTTGTTTTTTTCCGTCGATCTTGTTTTCCGTGCTGAGCACCAATGCTACCGACGTGCCAGGAAGGCAGCTCCCACACCTGGACCCTACCTATCGACCCATCAACTCATGAACCGGGGACCAACGGCTTTACTTCCCATCCGAAGGAAGGCGTGATCAGAGATGTTATGCCTCAGAACATCCCGGCGGCGCCGAGTGGGATTGAACCCAGGCCTGCTGGGGTGAGAGGTAATCACGCAAACAGTTAAACCCCCCGTAAGTCGATTTCGACTTTGAGTAAAGCCCAAACTCAATGCGTAATTTTCGAGATTAGTGGACTTCATTGATTGAATTTCCTCAACCAACGGCTCAGGATCACTACGCATAACCTCGTCGGCATTGCACACCTCCGTAAAATTCCACCGTTGGATTTCAAGTATCTGTACTTCGTTTCTGTCCTCAACAGGATCACTCGTTGCACTTTTGGACATCGAACCAGCAATTTGAACGACGTAAATGAACGATATTACTGCAACAACGAAAGAAGATTGTACTATTTTTTTTTCATTGGAGGCAAAATGTTTCAAAATCGTTGCTATAGGAAATCCTATTTCGACGATTTCTGCGCGTTTTGTTTCAAATTAAACAAGCATTATTTTCACGATTAGACAGACTACTATCGTAACTTTCTTCAGAATTAAGTCGCACTATATCAGTCATTTGCACAACGAACGGGTGACCAGGAACCGCTGACGGCTACTTGAGAACTTTACCTCCAATTTTTGAAAAATATAGATCATTGTGATCAAAATGGAGCTGAAATTTATATTAGTAATTAGACTCGTAATTAGAGCCAATCCCAGATACATAATTTAAAAAAAACTTACACTACACAGCCGTATTGTTTCCGCCACTTGAAAATCCATCGGCAAGTTGCAAAAGCTCAGCTATTCGCCTTTCAAATCCCGTTTCTTCGGGAACCGGAAAAATCTAGGATGGGAAAATCCCACTTTCTGCTGCTTCCTTTACGGAGTTCGAGCATAACTTATGGAAACACCTCATTTTCAAACAAAAAACTTCAAA